GATAATAAACCCTCGATTTCACCAAACATCGACAACTGGTGTCACTGCAGTGCCTATGACCGGCAGGTCCTAGCTTCGAGTTCGAGTGGCAAGATTTTCGACACTAGCTAGTCAGAAGCAATGTTCAGAAAACATCACATTTAATAAATCGATGTTTAAAATATCGATTATTTGAAATATCGACATCGATGTCCCATTCCAAGCCCCAACGGAAGCCCATAACTCCTGATGCCAATCAGGCCATTACTCTGATTTGTCGATTCCATTTTTTCTATCATTTTCAGCATTGTAATGTTCTCAATTTATTCACAATAATTGCCTAATATAAATCCAAAGCAGTATTCCCGTTATGAATATATAAATATCGTTTGAAAACTATTTATGTGGTTAGAACTAGAATTGTCCCTCTTCCTGTATTACATTCTAGACCCACTGCTTCCTATGTTTAGGATGCCTTAATCCCCCATCCTGGAGAACGATAAAACGTTACACAAGTTTCTTTAATGCACCAAATGATCACTTATGGCTCACCATAATTAGGAGGGTGATCATTGTACATCCCTCATTGGTGCAATAAGAAATGCGACTTAGAATGATACAGAACGATACAAGAATATGGATGAAGCTTTGCACATACGTTTGTGTGTGTGTGTGTGTGTGTGTCACTCTACGTGATTATCTCTTCGCGTTTTATTGCCAGATGTGAATATTAAAAATATCGTTCATCAGTACTGTTGATGTTGTAAACGGTTTTTTTGAATGAAGTCTACAAAAATGCTGCTTTCTAGAATGAATGGACTAGGTTGACAGTTTCATTGCCAACAACTGATTAATCTTTACGATCTTCGACAATAAAAAATGAAGCATGTCTATCACAGACGTGACTTTATGGTTGCAATATAAAATGATTGAATCAAATGGCTTATGATTAGGCTCGATTGTGAGAGTTAGGACACAACAATAGCTTTCAATCTGTTCGGAGTAGGAATTGTGGATCTTGGTCTGATTTGGGCAATCTGAATTGGTGTCTATAAAATTTCTGAAATTTCGAAAATTGCAAATGTTCAAAATATTGTTTCTACATCCTCCTACAACTACATTATTGAAGATATGAAATTTATGAAATCTATTTTTCAAAATTAGATCTCGAAATGTCACATTTAAAAAAATAAGAGTATTGTTAAGTCAAATCGCGAGAATCTTTTAATCTCTAATGTAGTAAACTCGCTTATAAATGTGACCTATATCAGATTTTAATTCAAATCCCTGAAATTGCAAAAAGTCTATCTTTTCTTTTACTTTCCGTATTCGAAAAGTGTCCTACACCTTGACAATTGAAGCAAGTGATTTATTTTGTAATGCAGTATATTCTACAATATTATAACTATTAGTATTTTAAGAACATATTTGCTGAAATATTACCAGTTTCCTTCTTGAGATAAATTGTGAGAATTTGGTTAGGTATCATAGTGACCGGAATATTAAGAAAGAGTTGTGGGCTTCTATCCAGGCGTTAGAATAATGTGCCTAGGTTAAAGGCACTCGATTTAAATGCCTAAGCGTCGGGGTTCAAATCCTTTTCGAAGCAAATAATTATATATTTTTAGGGTTCTTAAGGGGAAAGCAAGTTCAATGGCAGAACCGCTACATTAATTTTTAAAAAATGAAAGCAATGGATTTGTTGAACCCCTCAAGCTTCGTTCGGATAAGGTTTCAAAAAGGAGCTGCAATATTTGAATGGTAGAAGTTGCAATTTTGTATTACTTTATATATTAAAGGTTTTGATTGGGCGACTTGAGTGTACGTTTGAACTTTTGGGGTTTTGAGCAACTGAGTTTGGACTCAAGAGGTTGGAGTCCCGTCGCTGACAGACAGCTGTAGCTAAGCCCGCCTGCTACTACTAGCACTTTTCGGCATTGTGATGCACTTTTTTCATCTTCAACACCTGGTGGTAGTGACACAGTGGTACGCTTTCAGCATCACATTTGTTTTCCCGACTGTACTTGTGTCACAGTGATGCTTTGCATTGCGTTTGTTTGTGTTCAACGTTGATGAGTGCGACTATCAATTATAAACATATTTTACTATTTTCGCACACATTTTAAATCTGTTTATAGTAATTAGTATAATGATGGATTTCTTGTGATATTTCTCTTTATTAGTGTTTCTGACAATAGAATATAACACCATAAATATTTTCATAACTGCTCCGAGGTTGTGTTGTGATGCACAATATGAATCACACAATTCTAATAATATCACAAATAAGAAATGAAAGTATGTATAGATATGTTAATTAGAGTTAGAAAGAAATAAAGAAGCAATCTTTTTTTTAAATTTTGAACATTTCAGTCCACCTGTGCTACTAGGAGTCTTTGTGATGTACTTTATCATGCATGAAGGAAAAAGCTAGACACTTGCTCAAAGCAGGTCATTTCAGTAATTTTCTCTGCTGAGTTCCAGGAAACATTATTGCACTTTCGCACTGTTAGGGCTGGCGATGAGCTAATCTCCATTTCTACAGTATTGACGAAGCTGGATGCTGGGCCAGAGAGCCAGCTGGTAGATTCTCTTGACCCTGTTTGCGTCGCAAGGTTGAATAACTGGAATACAGAAAGGAAAAAAGTTAAACTTCTTAAATATATTAAAACAAAAATAATATATCAACTTTATTGTCATTCAATTTCATAATAGTTCATGAGTTTTATTTATTATATAAATGTCTTGATAATATAAAGGAAAGTGTATAATTTTAATACATTAATGTACTCTAAACATTTTAATTATATTTTGGTTTAGTTGTGAGAAATAAATAATACAATACTCGGTGCAGTAATAGGGTTGCAACATAATATTTTCCTTTCTTCCGGAGCATCACAAGGCTCCGAGATGATTTTTGCCTCAGGCCACAATACCCTAAAGGCCTCCCCTCTTGACTGTCTCGGAATTTTCTTACTGGATACAACCAAGATATGACCGAAACTGAATTTTCTCATACAACTCGTTATAAGCATCCATCATACAACCCTGTCATCTGTGCGTCATTGTAAGAATATACACAAACCCCACCTTCCCTACTACAAACTAAAAACTGATCAAATTTCTCGCCTCTGACGTTTTGCAGAGACTCTTACAATAGAATGGGGAAGAGTGTTCCACGAGCTCGAATGGTGTGCTTAAGATTCTCTGCTCCTTGCAGTTTGAAGGGAGATAGGAATTTGCATTAGGAAATGACACATTTCCACACTTTTTAATAAGTCTCTGTGAGACCAGACTCCTCAGTAAGTTGTATGGGGGCTTCACAATCGGTACCAAAAATTATGACAATTCCACTACCTCCTATCAATGGTGATCTAATTTTAATAAAAACTATCTCCCTAAGCTTTCAAGTGAGTCTTTCCTCACCTATGTAGATGGTCTGTTCTGAGGGTTTCAAAATAAGTACCAGACGTTAGGGTAGCCCCTTGGTCGACAGCTTTCAAGTGAGTCGTTCATCAGCTATGTCGATGTATTCAGTTATGTCCATGTCTTCATAATCAGTACCAAATTTTAGGGTAACTCTCTTGCACTTGGCCGTTTTTTGGTGTTGTTGATCTGATTTAAATAAGAGTCGCACCATCACGCTTTCCCATGAACCCTCCATCACTTTTGTAAGTGGTATAGGGGCCCGCTATCGGCACCAAACATTATACTAGTTCCCCATGCTCCCTGCAGGTTGTACGGACGTGGCAGAAAATTTAAAGATACATTCGCTCCCTACCTTTCAAATGATCGTTGCTTGAGTGTTGGGGGTGACAATAGGTATTACAAAACATTACGGCTGTCCCGATTTGCGATGCTTGGTCGTAGATAGATGAGAATCCAATTTAAATCTATCCAAGCTTTCAAATGAGTCCCTAACCACCCCCGGTTGGTAGGTGTTATGATCAGGGCTTCACAATCAGTCCGAAACTTAGGGACGAGGCTCCACGAATTTGGAGATGAGCCTTGAGGAGTTGAGTTTGAAGCTTCGTGTTTTCCTCAACTGCTAGTCTCTCTTCGCCCTGCTAGGTCGTAGGTAGATGATCGAATTAAAACTGCGCAAGTCTACAAATGATCCCCTCCCACAACCACCTCTATTGGGTTAAAGCAATGCATTTGGGGCTTCACAATCAGTCCGAAAGATTGTCCCATAGCCCCTTGTACTCGGAGATGCGCGTGCATGGTTGTGGCCATGTCAGGTAATACTCTGAGGATTCACAACCCGAAACATAGGCGCAGAGCCCCTTGCATGTGGCCACGGTGGTGCCATGGTGCGTGTGTGGCACAGGTGTCTGGTGTGGTCACTGGACGGGCGCAAAGAACCAGCTTTGTGGTTTGAGGTAATGCTCTTAGGGCATCACAACCAGCCTGAATCTTTGGCGCATAGCGTCTTATCTTTGGATATGAGCGTGAGCGGTGGTGGCATGGGGGGTAATGCTCTGAGTGCTTCGCAAACAGCCCTAAACTTAAGCGCATAATCCCCTGGGTTTAGAAAAGATATATGCGTGGTGGTGACCTGTTGGTGTATGAATCAAAATCAACCTAAAAATTAGACGCATGACTCCTTGTATTTGGCGATGAGCGTTCACATGGTGGGGTAATGCTCTGAGAGCTTCACAATCAGCCCGGAAGTTAGTCGTGTAGCCCATTGTATTTGGGGACGATCATGTGTGGATGTGGTCTGGTGAGATGCTCTGAGGGCTTCACAATCATCCCGTAAGTTAATCGTATAGTCCCTAGTATTTTGAGACGATCATGTGTGATAGTGGCTTGGTGGGATAACGCTCTGAGGGCTTCACAATCAGCTCGAATGTCTGCCGTGTAGCCCCTTGTATTTGGAGACGATCGTGTGTGGTAGTGGCCAGGTAGGATAATGCTCTGAGGGCTTCACAATCAGCCCTTAAGTTAGCGGTGTAGCCCATTGTATTTGGAGACGATCATAGATAGGTAGTATATAGCGGTAGTAGTCTGGTGAGATAATGCTCACAACCAGCCCGAATGTGAGTCGCGTGGCGCCTAGCGTGCGGTGCCGGCGGTGGCATGGTGCGTGCGTGCGGCGCAGGTGGCTGGTGCGGTCGCTGGACGGGCGCGAGGGCCGCGTGCCGGCGCGTCTGCTGGAGCCGGCCTACGACGGCGCGGAGGAGGACGACGCCGACGCGGAGGCCGACGCCTCTGCCGCCCTCGGCACCGACGCCGCGCAGCAGCGACGCGAGTGAGTGCCTCCGTCCCTCTGCAGCAGCAGAGTACCAACACTCGGCATACACACCAAAAACAACAACAATAACAACTGCAATAATATAATAATAATAATAATAATAATAATATTATTTACGAAAAATGCTAACGTGATGTGAAGTTATATTAATGCGACCACGTAAAAACATCAAACACAAGACATCGACATGAAAAAACATAGGTTTTAAAAAATCGATGTTAAATCAAACGAAGATTTTTTTTAAAACATCGATGATCATTTGTTGTCGATGATCATTTGATCACGTGTTACGTTATAGAATAAGGCATACAAATATTAATGGCATATTTGTATACCTTTTTAAAAACTGAGAATTTTAGTATGACCAACGATTCATACATACAAACATTTCAATTCATTTTGTATCTTACGATACTTATTTGCAACCTTTTTTAAAAACTAAATCTCTGTTTAAGATTTTCAAAACAGTTTGAAATTTAAGAAAGGTTGATTTTTTTAATGGAAATGTCGAGTTAAAAACACAATTGTTCAGGAGTAGCGGTTTTAAATGTAGTCTATCTGGACCCTCAAGGGTCTATGTGGGTTCACTGTGATATGTTGAGAACCTCCTAGGGTCGTAAGTTAGGAAAGTATTGCCAGATGCAATCAACATCGTTTAACTTCACAAGCACTAGTTTTCGGCATGTCACATTCTGAAGCAGTCCATTAGATTTCGAGTACCTGCCGATCACCTGTGCATGAGAATTTGTCACACAGGGGCTAACGTCTCATGTGTTATATAACATTTCCGACTACATTGGCGAAAAGTGATCATCTTTGATTCTACTAAATGCTATGGACGTTTGTAACATGTATTCTGACACAAATGATATACTCTGTGCGAAACTATATGTTACACTCTCCTGCAGCATACTGAGGGGTCGAAAATGATCAGCTTAACTTCATCTTACTAAATGACACATTTGACACTTCCCCCTGTTTAATAAGTAACTGACCTGCACTGGAATTATTTTGTTTATTTGTGTATATATATTTATCCATATGTATGTTTTGACTTATTAGATTTTATCTATTTTGTCAATGAACAGTAAGAACTGTATATAACGTATGTAAGAGAAGTACTATCTGCGCACGTTTTCTTGAGCTCTGGACTCCCTTGCCCACCTTTTACCCCTAATTACTTAAATAATGAAAAAAGGACCAACAAAACGAAGTCTGTAAGATCTGAAAATAGACATTTTCGCTTCCGATTTTTAAAAAATGAGTTGTTAGTATTTATAAGAAAACAATAACCCGTATCCCCGGCTTCATTACAGGCTTATAAATTAGTCACCATATATATATATATATATATATATATATATATATATATATATATATATATGGTGACTATTGATATATATATATATATAACGTTGTCACGTATATTCCTCAACTTTAACTTATAACCAAAAGTAATAAAATAGATTTGTGTTCTAGACGTAATAAAACCGTGAAATGTACCACTGGGATACTTTCTCCCAGACATTTTCATTATCCTAATAACATATTTACTAATTATTTTTAAGTAAACTACATTGTTAATTTGCTTTGTTTATAATAAATAATTATAAAAATATCCCCGCCTCTACTCCTACCCTAACTCCCAAAGGAGAGCTCGACTAAACGCGCGCACAGAGAGGCGCTGAGCGTGAGCGCGCGCGCGTGCGTGTGTGCGAGCAGGGCGGTGGTGCGCGAGCTGGTGGAGACGGAGGAGGAGTTCGCGCGCGACCTGCGGCGCGTCGTGGAGCAGTACCTGCGCCCGCTGGACAGCGCCGCCACGCCGCGGGCGGTGCGCGACGCCAAGGACGTCGTCTTCTCCAACCTCAAGCAGATCGCCGACTTCCACAGCACGTGAGCACTCGCCCCGCCTCCTCCTGCGAATCGAATTTGAATTAATGGTGTCAAATGAGATGAATGAGTAAATGCCAGTGTGTGCGAATGTTATTGGGCGAGTGACAGACTGATTGGCAGTGAGAAAATGAGTGATTGACGAAAGAAATGAAAGCCAATACGAGTAACATGTCAAATGGACGTTAGCGTAAACGAAAGTCTGACTCAACGGTTGTGTGACTCAATGAACGAGTGACCCAACGAACGTCTGACTAACCACCGACTGACTAAATGGCCGTCTGACTAAACGACCGACAGACTAAACGACTGTCAGACTAAACGACCGACTGACTAAACGACCGACTGACTAAACGACCGACTGACTAAACGACCGACTGACTAAACGATCGACTGACTAAACGGCCGACTGACTAAACGACCGACGGTCTAAAGGAACGGCTGACTAAATGAATGACTAATTGAAGGATTAACTGACTAAAAGAATGGTTGACTAAGGGAATGACTGATTAAAGGAATGAAGTATGCTGAATGAAGCTGAATGAAGTAACGACTGACTAAACGAATAGTTCACTAAACAAATTATTAAATAAAGGAATAATTGACTAAACGACAGATTAGTGACTAAATTTTTTACATGACTGTAATAAATCGTTCCAACGTTGCTTTGTAATGCACATGATAAACTGTTAAAAATGAAGTTGTCTGACAAACGAATATTTGAATTCTTTTGTTGGTTGTTAAATACAGAAATGCATGCTGATTTCTTGATAGCTTTCAGAAAAAAGATTATTAAAAGGCTTTATATAACATTTCTATTAATAGTTATGATTTTTATGATCATTTTAAAATGATGGCCATATCTCAAAATCCACATTTTTATAGTTTACTCCAGAGTGGAAGTCAGTTCACAATATTGCGTGAGTTTTGTATAATTTAAATTCAGAATTCTGAGTTATGGAGAAACTTTTTAAGAGCTAGAAAAACACGCTAAGTACCATGGACGTGCACTATGATTCACCAGGTACAGGCAGCGTTCCTCTCTAATGCCCCATTTCTTGGTTGTTGCAGAGTGCTCATCGAAGGAGTGAAATACTACGCGAGCGAGCCGCACCTCTTGGGCAAGACCTTCCTGCGCCTGGTTAGACTTCCTTCATTTTACATCTTTATGGTCAGAACAGCTGTCAAGCAGATAATGTGATAATATCTGCGATCATTACATAGCTCAAATTACACGTACGAATATTACTGGTACAATGTTAGGAGCTTACCCATTGCTAATTGTCGTATTAGAACCACAAACCATAATAATATAAAATGCAAATATATGTAATAAATGACACTTACAAAATGTGTTGTCGCACTTACGTACATAATTTACACTTAAGGCACTATAATCCCGAGGGCATTTAAAGATTTCACTGTATCATTTAACTAAAATGGACTTGGTGGAAATACAGAAAGTAATACATTACGCTTAAATCTGTTAACATGAGACAAATAACACATGACATTATTTTGGAGTATAAATTAGCATTATTGATTAGGTTTAAAATTAATAATATATCAATAATAGATCAATAACATTAATTTCGATGTATTTATTGTTCAAACTTTATTGAGAAAACTATTATATTGCAAAAATTGTCTAGCATTTTTAAATTTACTGAGTTACTTTACAATCTCTTCTAGATCAGCTAGACAATTTAATTATTGAATGATGGTTCAAAATGTGTACATCGTGAATGTTCGATGCAAACATGTCTATGTATTCATTTTGCCATAAATCAAAATATAAAAATATAAACCATCAAATTTATCACAGTTTAAAAGCATTATTAATGTACTTAATTGTGTAGAAACTCAACTTGTTACGTGGAAAAACATTACTCGAGTTAATAACTTAATTTTCTAAGAAACACCCAACAAATTATTTCACAAACATCTGTCACGTCAAATGAATGAATAATGCAAAAATAAATCCACGAACACATTAACTAACGTAAATTGAACAAGTTTTATTTCCAAGCTGTTTTAAATTTCCTTTTACATACACATATATCTTCATTTCGCAATACCACAACATACGTATTTTCTAGAAATAATGTAATATACGGAAAAATAAAGATTCTTCATTATATTCCTAGGACGTGAGTTCGACAATAACTACAATCGAATTTAAACCCTAGGACAAAACAACTTTACACCTAAGTTCTCTTATAGCACTCGACCTTTTGATATGAAAATTACAAAGGCATCAGAATGAAAGTAAAAAACTTGTATCTCATGTAGTTTACTTAAAGATGATCTTCTTTAATTAGTTAACGTGGAGTGATAACTTTTTATATAACGAATTTACACATGTTTCTAGGCAACACATCGTGCGCTGTGTTTCACAGATGACGTGACTCAGATTTCGTTCCAGTCATGAGGAGTTGCCTACAAATTAGCAGCAAATGAAACTTACATTTTTCACTGGCAAACGTTTATTATCTTGGACCTCCTTATATATTCTCAAAGTTTATAACATTTATGTTGAGACACCTCTAGTACATGCTGGATCTTCAAATAAGACAAATATGTACCAAATATCGTTTTACAGCTACGTATTTTAAGCACATGTATTTATCAATCTTGAGGAAGTAATGACTCAATAAATCTGCAGATGGCTTTTGAATATGGACCAATTTGTGTAAATATAACTTGTATATGTTGATTAACTGCTATTTATCAATTCCAAGCTCATTCGGTTGAACTCTTTGCTCAAAAACACCATAATGTTGTGTCGTATTGAAATATAAACTTCATTCAAAATTAGTTATTTTAAAATAAATTAATAAAGGGTTTTGAAATAAACTATTTCAAAATATATTAATAACATACTTCGAACGAAAATATTGACAAATACCTTAAAAATATGACGTTTTCAAAGGAATCTTAAGAAAAGAATGAAATAAATAGTAGGTATTTTGCAATAATACATCAAAAATGTGGGTTCAACAATTTTTTTATCATAAAATTCTTTAAATTAAATTAAATTAAATTAGGCAAAATTTGAAGGTCAAACAATGTCAATTTTTGATACATTACGTTGTTTCAATTTCTATAAATCACAGTGTTTACACAGAAGAAAACAGAATAATACTGAAATTCCATTGTTTTCTCTCAAGAAAAGGTCTCTCAATTTACTAAAAACTCTACTCTAATTTGATAGATAAATATGAAAATATAAACAAACTCAACTTAATGTTTGTAGAAACATAATAATATCTTTGTGACTTTCTTTTATTAAACAACCTGTCCATAATTGTAGATAGTAAGAAAAGTAAATTATAAAATGAAAGCCCTTTTTACATGGTACAACTTCCATCCAATTTTACAAGTTTCATTTTTCGTAAAGAATCCATTTAATTTCTGTCCAATAATTTCCAATAATGTCCGTTTAGAATCCATTCATAGTTCAATTGGTAGCATTCTACAACTCGATACTTCATGCCAAAATATGTGATCTTTTGCAAGTTTTTGTTACGTTAGGTTAGTTTCGGGCTATGGTTATGTTTGCGATCCAAATAATCCAGTTTTGTATACATTATATTGTTATTTTTTTATTACTCAATATAATTGTAATACCAACATACAATATGTTTCAAACGGTATCATTTCTCAGTTTTTGTCAGGATTTGTACAGAAACAATGTGTATGGTGAAACACTGGCTACAGATTGTATCAATTTTTTGATGTAATATTGGATGGAAATTGTGCCGCCTAAACAGGCCTGAAACTGCCAGTGCCCAAATGCGTCCTTGTGGAACACCTAAGTAAAATTCGAATTTGTTCGCAGGAGCGAGACTTCGACAAGCACGTCGCTTACTGCAGAGACGAACCTGCGGCGCAGTCCCTTCTGCTGGAGAATGACGCCGTGCGCGAATATTTTGAGGTAAGCCCCTCCCTATTTTGCTTTTAGGACATCACTTGCACAAAACGAATCGCTTATTCCTGAATGTTAAAACTTCTCAAAAATCGCAAAATGAGTTTTTTGAAGGTGGCTGCAATTTAGGAGCTAATCACATCGATAGGCTCGGAAATGGTGTTAGTTGTTTTTTAGAAATGGGTAAATCAGTTAATTGCTAGAATACAACAACTTTAAGAATGTCTGTGTTTCAGTAATGTACGTGACAAGTCTTAGAAATTGACAGTTGTATGTTGATATGTGATTGCGAGTTAGTTAATTTCCTAATGTAAAACAAAGGTTAGCCGTATCTTTGCTTTTTCAAAATTGTTCTAGACTCCCTATTCTCTTGCTCTCTGTGGTTGTACAAGAGACTGAACGTAACTGAATCACAATTATGAAAAATGTACAAATTTAATATAAACAAGCTTGAAATAAAATAAACTTTAACACAATTGGCAAGATTGCAAGAACCATAGCGCGGTGCTTTTTCATCAGCGTTGTTTGTTGTTGTTGTTGTTTTGTAAATTAATTTGGCGAGTTCGAAACCAAGCGCTGTTTTTTGCCGATTTACGTTTAATCTCTTCGTAGTTTCTTGATGCTTATCGACCACAGAACAAAAGAAAATCAGCGGACTTTCTGTACCACAAGTACAGGATGTTCAAAATATGTATAACCTTGCCTTACCTCAAACACTGAAAATATGTCACCTCAAACACTGATACAAGCATGCAGAAAAATTATCGTTATATATTTCAAAATACATGTGAAATTAGTTCTTACATTTTGAAAACGTTCCTTGGATTATATTTTAATTTATTCTTTGGACCGCTGTTGAACTCCTCCTCCACCCACACACACTCACATTGGTGTGCTCTGGTATAGGTTTCTAACATTGACATTTAAAAAAATCATACTCCGAAACTCTGAGTTTTAATGAGATATGTTTCCGAAACTATGAGTTTCCGCTTAATTTTACGTGAAATATAAGCAAAAAATAGTGTCAAAACGTTTCAAATTTTTCTCTCGGTTAAAGCAAAGTGTACTTATGAACATGACCTAATTCTTATTTCTAGGGAACTCTTTTTTTCTGTATTTTCAAAAATGGAAAAAATTGAGATCTTTTCCTTAAGGAAATCATTTACAAAGAATTTAATCATTAAATGAAGTCATGATTTTTTTTTGATTGGAGTAATTTTTCTTTTATTTTATTTTTTGAACAAGTAAAAGGTAATTTACTAAAAATTCAAATACAGGCGCAATTTTTGTTTTCACTTTTTTCTTGAATAAAGCAAGTGACACTTAACCAGGGCGCAGGTCACATTTGATATCAACTCTCTGAATATTGCAAATGTTACAAATAATGCGAGAATGTATATGCTGTTTCATTACCACTTGTTAAATTTGAATCCAATTCACTTTTTATTATTCTTTACAATTACTATTGACTGAGATACTAGTGTCTTATCCTAAAACTTGCTTTGCAAACTGCATCGTTATATCGATAAAGTTGAACAGTTGTCAGAAGAACTAAATGTGTCATGAATAAATTTCATTAATTACTTTTTCTACCTGATATATGAAATAGGGGCTTCATGTCGATTAAAAGTTTTTTTTTCAGTTATACTCATGAAAAATTCTAAATTAGTGACTTTAGATGCATCTTTTCCCTACATTCATTAGTAAAATAAAATTTCACTTGAATTTCTATGCATGTATGTACTTTGCGCGACGGCCCGTGAACGGGCTCAGGCCTACCGTCGACATCCCTGCCTCGCGGCCATGGGTTAAGGAGGTACGTGTGGTTAGCAAGTAGACATCCCCATAATCCGGTCTTCTCAACCTGAGATGTGAATTTTATCATCGTCACACAGCAATTTTTAACTGAGATATTGCAAGGAAAACGCACACAATAGTCTCGGCCCGACCGAGAATAGAAACTCGGGGCTTCGTTGTGGAAAGCAAGCACGCTGACCAAGAGCTGGCCATGAGCAGATTTCTACATACTTTCAATTTATTCTATCATGTGTCGTATTTTCTCCTTTTTAACCCAAAAAACTTCGGTTACCGTGTTGCACTTTCTCACAGAAACACTACAAAAGATTTTTTCACACTTTCTGCCAAGGTTTCCTTTCTCCACCTACCATCATCAGACATTGTTTTTTCCATATTTTATACCAAGTACAAATTTAATTATTCGGATTTACGATTTCGGGTTACACAGATAATATTATCACCAGCAATTACAACCTTTATCATCAGCAAATCATCGTATATAAGGGAGGCAACGGACATATGAACGTATAGACAAAATTTCGGAAGATAACTTGAAATTTTCAATATAGATTTAGAATAATGCGAAGCATTTTATAAAACGTAGGAAATAATTTTTCAAAATTCATTCGCTGAAGGAAAGAGGTTTAAACTGGTAATTTCCGGGAATGTTGAACAATGCGTCTAATCTGTTGTACCGTTGATGACGCCTCCTTTTAGACTGTCGGTCCTCTCGGCAACCCGTCACCTGGGTCCTCCCGCACCGCGAATTCCCGGGTCATCTGCCTTCCTCATAATCCACCTGGTGAGTTAACCTCATTGGTGATGTCTCTGCAGGGGCTCGGAACGAAATGACCTAGGGTTCGAGTCCCGACGTTGCAGGATTTTCGTCACTAGCTAGGTCGGTCTTAGCTGCTGTCTGGAGGATACTTCTAGCGATCGGCTGCTGTAATCGGGGTTTTTCCGTAGTTGTCCGAGTATCGGTGGTTTTCCGATCACCTCCATGCGAATTCCGGAGCATACCCTACCCTAACAAACGGGCCACGGACCGCCCACGGCTTTTCTTCTCTGTTCCTTTTCCTGTCCTCTTCCGTTACATTTCCCTGCCCTACTCTACCGCACATGTTGGGAGATCTGTAGGGAGCTTAGAGCCTGTCCAGGCAGGGGAAGGGTTCTGCTGGAAGGAGACACTTTGAGAGTAAATCCCTGCCAGCCGACATGTAGATCGGCGCTGGATCTCACCCCCCCCAACCTCCCGGGACACTACACTAACGGGACTAATGCCAATCGCAGCTGATGCGCCCGAAAACAGTAATTAATCAACCCACTTAATCCAATCATTTGTCGTCGCAATAGAATCCCTCTCTCCTCGGCATGCAGGTGCAACTCTTAAGTCCTTTTCCTTCAGTCTCTAGGTTAGAAATGCCAATTGCGGTAGCGATGGTCAACGTATATGACTGTTATACCCAAGTACGTGGGTTCAAATCCGATCCAAGCCGTGGATTTTGAGGGCGAGAAAATTCTTCGTACGCCTTCCTTCGGAGGATAAGAAAAATCGTCTGTCCCATGTTAGTAGATTTACTAGTAGCATGTAAAAGATCCTCAAGCCTAAATGAAGTTTCTGAGCTAAACTCGCCTGTTTCGTCGCCCAAGTAATGCCTCCTTTTTCCGCTAGTTGGTTAAAGGACCGTAGCAAAATTTGCGCGGTCAGACGAAAAAAGCAGGCCTCATGGCCTGCGTCTCGCCACAAAAAATATGACAAATCAATTGAATTCATACGTCTCCTAAGATCATCACGACCAAACATAGCTGTTTTGAAGGACGAAATAACGGTCTGGAACGGATAGGAAGAGGGGTTATAGAGAGTTATATGATACTTCGAACCGCCCCATTGTGTCACTACTCAACAAATATGTCTAACTTGGGATTCGAACCCGTAGCATTGGTGTAACGCGTCCTTCGGCGCGGCTTTCTCAATTCCCTGGGCCATCAGACCAGCAAGGAATGGAAGCAAAAGGTGACAGATGGTGGTTGGGAGATCCCATGATTCATTGTTAGTGATTCCATTATCCAAGGTCATTAGTCCCGTACGTGTAGTGCATTTTGTTATCTCGGAATTTGGCGGTGCTCTTCTCTCGTTTGGGAGATTCCCGCCATGCCACAACACACGAGCAAACACCCATGCCCGAGGCTTAATTCGAGGCAGGACCCTTCCAGCCGCACGGCCTTCACAATCCCGGCTCCCCAGGTCAGCAACATTACATTTCGTGTTAACATAAATTAATAATTCAATCGTGCATTAAAAGCAATTCAAGGTGAAAATATTACGCCCATCCTATAATGTCACGTTATGCATCTGGAATAGTGTATTTATTACTTACACTGCTTAAATGTTCACATTTCTGCGCAGATAACTCTACCTAAACGACGAACTGAAGATACGTTCCGGAACATTGAATCAGTTTTGCTGTGTTTATAAAAGATAGATTCGGAAAACCTTGCTTCTTATCTTGCCCGTCACTGCAAATAGCGGTTGGTCACCGCGATTAATTATTTGTAACTATTTGCGGTGTAACTAGCGCTTACGATCACCGCAATCCGTTGTTAGTAACTATCTGCGGTAGTAAGTGTAAAAAAGCCTTGGGGGAAAACTTGGTGATAACGACAATAATCGTAGTCAACTTGTCAGGATGGGAGAGCCTCGGCCGAGGGGGGGGGGGCGAAGACGGGGAGTAGTGCTAAGCGGGAAGGATCTAGTGAGTATGCAAAACCGGAGTGGGGGCGGAATTAAATATCCGTATTTGGCCGCATTACTAAAGCCAATCAGCATAAAACTTTTATACAAGGATATGTCTTTTTTAAGAATTGGTTTGAAGGTCCTTTTTTTAGGCAGACATTCATTCACATTTTTTATTTGAAATCTTACAATCTTTAGACCCACGTTTCGAAGGTAATTGGCCCTCATCTTCAGTTTTTTCAATTTGTTCTTTGTTTATGATAATTAGTTTATCATATAATATTCATTTAGAAGTTGTAACTGAATAAAATATATGTAATATTCCATGAGAGTCTGAAATATGAAGTCAAGTTTTTATAATACTATTATAAAAGATATAAAATATAATAAAAAAGGACCTCGAAACCAATTCTAAAACACATCAAGAAAGACAGTCTTATTCTCACAGAATAATTTTAAAATGTTCTTTCAAAACAAG